GCTAATTATACAAAAATAGTCGTTCCAGTCTCTCTTTTCTTTGTCGGCACTCCCCTTCTACCTATGCTACTGCTTACTGTGAGACTGCCTAGGGAAGCTCTAGATCGACCCCCAAGGCACAGCGGAACGAGCATGTCCCGTAACCCCATCAGTGAACGCACTTTCAACAAATATATACATCCTCCATAGGCTCGAAGCTACCTTTTGTATAGTCAGTGAGCGGAAATAGGCTAGAGTTCGTTGCTGCTGAATTGCATGTGACAAAGACCGGAGGCCACATAACACAGATGTTACTTAACAACTTACTGTTAAATCTTTGCCAATATCGTCTATAACGTGAACCGTTTAGCTCCCGCTGGTTGCAAGACTTATCACAGACAACGACACTTTGCCTGAGAGCTATGGGTATTGAACCCTCCTAAGTGGTTTCATGGCAGAAAGCAAACAGTTATTAGAAGTAATACTGACAAGCATAACGACGTTGGGTCGACTTCAATGTTCCCGCATTTTTGTTAGATTTCCATGAGTACAATCCACTTTGAAATCTTCACTTATGTAGAACTCCTAAACTTTGTCTGTTCATTATCTCTTAAAAGCCAAAAAAATGTTGTTCCATAGCATGTCATGGAATACCTCTTTTTTCTAGTAGTTTAGATCAAAACGCTATTTCTTCTCGTGTCTGCAGAGGACGGTTCTATTTGGCCTTATAAATCGTGTGTTGGTTTCTCATTTAACGAGTTAGTCTTGCATACTTAGTTGCTTGACGTGCCTCTCCTCGGCTCTTAGCCATGTACTCGACCCTTCAGCCCGCATCACTATTTTTTTCGTAAAAATGGCCGTAGATCATCATCTGGAATCGTCCACCCCAGTGGTCCAGTAACTCCGTTGGAGCGATCGTCGGAATGACGTTTATCTGTTATCCCCTTTATTCAATTCCGCCCGCCATAAGCAGTCCAAATTTGGCCCTTACCTTCCTGCATCCTAAGAGGCGATCCCAAATGAAAACCGCCAAGGAGCAAAGTAATTTCCTGTTCCCTCAGTTGATTCATGGTCCCATTTATCCTCTCCTTCAAGAAGCACCAGCTGAGTTTATTCTTGGTTTTAAGTGTGGTTGGATGATTTTTTTGTAGCGATGGTAGTTTTATCATCGTAAACACCGAAGTTCCCTTCTGCCTGTTGAATTGGTCATGCACATTAAATCGTTTACAGTGAAAAAGATATGCATTGCCTTCAGCTCACGTCCCCACCCCATATTCGCTGTGCACCTTTGACAATATATGAAGGGGACCAGCGGTGAGCGTGGGCGCAGGAGTTGAAGGCATATGCGTTTCTGACTTTCGTTGTGGACAGCTATTTTTCTCAAAAATGTAGTTTGATGTTTGAATGAGTCTTCACATGTGGCCCAAACGGCTATCTTCGTGAAAAGTAGCGCCCGAACACTCAATAATTCAGCAAGTGCCTTAAAGAATAATCTTATTTTAAAGTTCTCAACAGACAGGTTATTCAGAATCTGTCTTTATGGACGATCGGGTGAAAACACTGATAATCATGAAGTATTCCGCAATATTTCGAGGCCGATCTGAAAGTCAACGTAATCCAAAACCATCGAAAAGTGTAAATTAATTTAACGGAAGAAAAGTTCTTTCTATAAACACAAAAGGGTATGTTTACGACCACGCCTGTCTGTTCTATTCAAATTTATTAGGTACCGACCGGCCTCATAGCATGTCACCTTATGAAAACTTTTGTTCCTACGATGTCCCCATCGGTGAATTCAAGCAAAATCCAGTTTCTCTTGTTGAACCCCATCTCATTTAACTCAAACAAGTCAAGGTTAACATGAATCCCTGGAAAATTGTTTTGGAATCTACACTCAGAATGTACGCAGTTGACAAACCGTCATATATGAAATCACACTAATTATTAAACGATATTTAGATGTAAACTTCACTGAAACACTATTATTAGACATTATTTTATTTCTACTTTCATATTTACTACTCTTTTGGTATGAGAATACATTCTATACATCTAAAAACGAAGTTTACTAAATTAGAGCCATTTCTGGCGTTTTCGGGATATTACGCTTTTCGAAATAAATCGGCATTTCTAAGCAACGCAACACTGCCTTTAGTATTTCCCATGTGTTTTTAATTCTTTTAAATCTGTACTTAATTGACATAGACATTGGACTCATGAAATGATGTCGGTTTGCGAGTGATCGGCAATCATTCGTAAATTTCGACACATTTCATGAGTTAGGTCACTAGCTGTACATCCCGCCTCCATGCGCAGCGCCCGAGCTGATTATTACAACGCATGAACCAAGTTACAGAGAAGAACAGGCTTCCCGTGTAAGTGAAACGAGCATACTCTCATATGCGACATTTCATACGTCCTACACATGCTGGCAAATTAAATCGCATGCATTTTCTATCAGAGTTGTCTGATGTATTGCTGAAAGTTTTTGTGCGCGTGCGTGCAGAGCACATGATCTTAACTCCGCGAGCCGCGACCCCCTAAGACAGGTCACGCGGGAGTTGTGCTGGACCATCATGGAGCTCAGATCGGGGTGCACAGTCGTATTAAGTGCCCCACACGGGGAGGCTGGAGTGGCGCGCCTAGGCGTAGGCTCACACCGCGCCGGCCGCCTGCTCCCCACCTCCGCATCAAATGACTGACCGATCTGAATAGTGTACTTGTGCCCCCGAGGGGGAAGAAAGAGTGGGAAGCAAGTCCCACGTCACTCAGAACATATTCCTAATCATAAACAATTTACCGCCCTTTCGAACCAGCACGGTGGGCTAGAGCTGTGGCCCAGGAGGCTGTCAACTGGTGGAATAACTCAATTCTTTCAGGACAACGAGTCAGGCTGCAATGGCTTCTTTTTACTATGGCTTCTATGGCACTCCCATTCATTTGGGAACCGAGCCGCTCCCCACCTCTGTTGTTTGCGCGAAAATCTAAATTGCCATGCGCAGACTGGACGTGTGTGGCACGCTCAGACGAATAGTTTAGCCCTTTCGTTCAATGCGTCCATTCCGCCCCTGGTATTCTTGACTTTTCTCTAACGCTGGGCTCAGGTGGATGAGGAAGAAGGGAGTACAGTAGACGTAGCGCAAGTCTAGTATCACTAGTAGCTATTGCACACACACAAGTCGCCGCCTCTGCGCCCACCATGTTGTGAGGCATACGGTGGACGTCATTGGTGAGGACGATCAAACTGTTGTGTGTGCGGCCGATTAGAATGATATGTAATTTAAGGGAGTTTATTTGTAGATGTAATTTGAGTTTGTTGCGAAGGAGCCTGAAGTGAGAGGCTTCAATTAAAAACGTTTTGTATACGCATATGGCCTAAAAAGCCTACGCGACGTCTAAATGTCTGAAGGCAGTGTGTACATATAGGACTGCGGCAGTTGGTGTAGTTCGAGGCTTCAAAACGCAGACGATGGCTATGCAAGTGACTGATTAGCTATTCTAAAGAGTAAATACAGTGAGGACAGACTGGAACTAGATCTAAAACGCTGATAAAAGGGACGAGGGTTTGGGTGAGGGGCAAGAAGGGAGAAGCGCCCTCCTTAATTACTCCGGTAGATATGTTGTCATGTGAGATGGAAGGCTGGTTGGTCGTATCGATACCGTTCTGAACACAGAGGGGTTCAGCGGGATCAATCCGTGCCTTAATGTCCGTTGAGAATTTGGACACGATGAAGGACTATGAGTGCTCATATAGTTTTCCCGAGATGCTTCGGTCTGCCTTCGCCGCCGCTGGTTTGTTGACTTCAGAGATATGTGCCTCAGCCCCAACACCATTTCGTCATGCCTGTCGATTCTGTTCGAGATTTTGCCAGTCCCTAGTGTTGATTTGTACGTGATTTATGGACGTCTTCAGGGCATCCTTGTAACGACCTGTCTGCGAGCCCCCATAGCCATGTCACCGAAAAATAGCCGCTTGAGTGCCTTCCTCATTCATCCTCAGGATGTGGCTACTCCATCACCATTTTATCTGCTTCACCATGGCGTGAGAATTGAAGACACCGATCCGATTCATAATTTCAGTGTGTGTCTGCGATCCTTCTTTACCATATAATGCGTTAGTATTCTTCGTAGACATCTGAGGTTACAACGGTAGAACCTCCTTGCCTGACATTCACTGGCACTCTACGTCTCCGCCGCGTGCAGGATCACAATCAGAACAACAACACTGTACTTCCTCAGTATCGTATTTGGGAGGTGGGATGTGCGTGGGGGGGGGGGAGAGGTAGGTCGAAGCATGCAAATTATGATTGTCCTTCACGGTTCCTAATCGGCACCCAACTCCTCCTTTTGGTCCCTTTAAAGCTAGGCTCGCCCTAGCGGCCATACCCCGGCAACAGACCTGATTGGTAGGCAAGACAGAACGAGCGTATTCGATGGTGTGTGCGTCCTCACACCCAGTAGCCCGGTTCTCCCTTCCCCTCCCATTTTCTCTTCCTCTCGATTCAAAAAGTCCTTTGGGCAGGGCGAAATGCAATCCCGTGGGCTGCCCAGATTAGATCGGGTCGATCTTTCGCTAAAAAGCTGCGACCAATGCAGGAGTTCAACAGCCGTCTGAGATGTCTCAGCGGGCAGCATTGCTTACCGTCCCCCGCGGAGGAAGGAGCTAGAAAAAGTGCCATAAACCAATGCTGAGGCCACGTCATCTGCACGCATACCGTGGCTCGTCCCACCTAACAAGTTGCCCGAGTAACTCTGTTCATCCTATCAGCTTGAAATGTTCGTTCTCCCTTAGATAACTCCCAAAGTAATCGGACAGAAAGGTGGACGACGCTAGTTGCTCGACAGCTGGCACGCTGCAAGGTGGACATCACTGCTCTCAATGAGACCCGATTCCCGAATGAGGCCAACTGAAGGTGGGTGCTGGCTACATCTTCTTCGTAAGCAGCCGCACAAAGGTAGAGCACCGTGATGCTGTCGTCGCCTCTGCCACCCGGAACGACATCGCGGGACAACTACCCTGTATGTCGCAGGGCATCAACGAGCGCCTCATGGCTGTCTGTCCACCTCTGCAGGAAAGCAAATTCCCCATCATCCTAAGCGCCTACGTCCCTCAACGACCAGTTCCGATGAGGCGAAGCAAGTTCTGCAAAGACCTGAACACCCTTCCAGTGACTGTGCCGAACGCAAACAAGTCGACTATCCTTGGTGACATCGATGCCCGCTTCGGACAGACCCCGCTGCTTCTAAGGGAGTATTGGGTCCCCGTGGACTCGGCGACTGCAACGAAAGCGACCATCTCCTGCAAATCCGTTCAAAACATAGCTTTTTCGTGATAGATACCTTCTTTCGCCTTCTGACGCTGAAAAAGGTGACGTGGATGCATCCTCGATGCCGACGCTGGCAGCTGCTGGACAACGTTCTCGTCCGGAGCCGAGATAGACATTACATGCTGGTAATCAAGACGATCCACGCGGCCGATGTTTGCACGGATTACCACCTCGCTGTCTCCAAGATGAGGTTCAGTCTAAAGCCTCACGAGAGACCACAGGGTAAGTGATCATCAGTTAAGTTAAGTACTATTCTGTTGAACTTGCCTGCACACTGCTTTGTTTTCAGAAATCAACGGACCCAGCGACCGGAAGACCTGCAGACTTTAGACGCCAACACCACCGTGGAAATATAGTAGTGTCGACCGTGGAATGTTATTCACTCCACCCCCTAAATGTCCTCAGATGCGCCTATCGTCAGTACTAGGGCCGGTTTGATGACAACGAAGTAAATATCAGAAACATATTCGCCTAAAGGAGTGAACTTCACAAAGCCTACATCGTCCGCCAGACCGACTCAAGCAGGGTGACCTTCTTCAGACGACGCCGCCTTGTGCAGCAAGGGCTGCGGTAGATACAAGATGCCAGGACGGATTGTGGGGCTTAAAAAATCCAAGGGCGCGCGGGTGGCAATGAAAAGAAGAACTTCTTCGCGTCAATGAAAACGGTCTACAGACCCTCAGGCGAAGGAACCGCGCACTTCTCAACTCTTACCGAGCAACAGTCCTTACGGATAAATTGCAAATTCTGAAGTGTTTGGCCGATTGCGTCAGAACTATTCTCAACCTCCCATCCACGATCTCCGACGTCGCGTAGACCGGCTCTTCCATTTGGAAACCAGTACCGACATGGACCTCGCGACCCATCTCGCACAGGCAACTTTTTGATGATCGCTGCTCAACACTACTAGGGACAGCTTTGGCTCGCGTCCTTCTTAATTGTCTCAGCGGACATCCGGAACATGGACTTCTCTCGGCGAGCCATCGTGCCTTATCACGACACCGCAAAACACCGACATGATCTTCGCCGTACACCAGTTACAAGGTAAGTATCAGGAGATGCAAATCCACCTCCACACCCGATGAAAGCCTTTGACACGGCAAATCACGCAGCAATTCGGTTGTCCTGAGCGATTCACACAGATGGTGCGTCAGCACCACGAGGGGATAATGGCGCGCGTAATGGGCAATGGGACCGTCTGATAAGCGTCTGCAGTGACCAGTGGAGTGGGGCAGGGCTGTGTACTTGCTCCCAACCTCATCAGTATCGTGTTCTCTGCTATGCTGCTGGATGCCTACTGCGATGAGCATCCTGGGATCTGAATCGTCTTTAGGACCGATCGCAATTTCAATAGCCGGCACATGCAGGGCCCACTGCGTCTATCCACAACTACTGTCTACGACGACTGCTCGCTAAATACCGCGATACAACTGGATATGAAACGGAGTATGAATCTCTCCGTCTCCAGCTAAGCAAACTTTGGGGTGAACATAAACGCAGATAAAACTGTGGTCATACATCAACCGTCACTCAGCAGTGAATGCAATTTCTTCCTCACCGTTGTCAACGGCACTCAAATCAAAACTGTGGACAGTTTCGTCTATTTAGGCAACAAATTATTATGCAGCATTTAAATGGACTACGAAGTGGCTCCCCGGATCTTCAAATCCAGCCGGACTTTTTCGACTGCTAGCCTCCTTCTGGAACTACCATGGACTTTGCACAACACGAAGTTCAAAATATACAGGACAGTAGTTCTGACTATACGGGACGAATTCGTGGATCATCCACACCAATTAAGCCAGGAAAATCAATCTCTCCCACCTCAGCTACATGAACCCCCTGAAGAGCTTTTTCAAACACTTGAAAATCAAGCCAGACACCTGGGAGGATCTGGCACAGGACCGATCGGTCTGGAGAAGAGCAGTGAAGACTGGAGCAGCAATGAAAAAAGCCAACCGGATCGTTTCTATCAAAGTCAAAAGAACAGCTCCCAAGCCTCAAGAGCCTCCGATCCACAACGCCAACACCCAGCTTCTTCAACACGCCCACACCGCCAACAAACATTCCAAGAGGGATCGGCTTTGTCGGAAATCTCCGAACTCAGTGCAACAACAACTCAACAATCTCCCTGTTGTCTCCACACCGCCACTCCTAATAACAACCCCACGTAATCCATGTAGATGACTATCCTCACTATCTGTGATCACACTCCCGATGCCCCGCCGCCGCTGATCACCGCCACCCCCCCCCCCTCATCCACAACCTCTGCAACGACGATTGCCACCTCTCTCACTCCCGACACCGCTGAGAGCACTCCCGACTCCCTAATAAATACTGCCCTCATGATCAACACCTCACCACCAGCAATCAGGCCTCGATCTCGACTTGTCTTCATGTCGGCAACGGCAGGGTGCAGGACTGCACTTGACCGTCGGCAGATTGCTGATCATGTCATACACGAATGGTGGTAATGGAATTTTTACAGACAAGGCGCGTTAATCAAAAAATAAAGAAAAAATTCAAAAAATGACGGAGTTTGAGTAACAGTATGAGACCTTGGGAAGTAATTGTTGTTTGCATTGTAAGGTCTGCAACGGCCTGCAGATGGATGCCAAGATAAAACCCCATACGACACGACCCACGGTCTACCGACAGTTAAGTGGGGTCATTCACGTTGTCATTACCCTCGTAGTTCGATCACAGATCCATTGCACGCATCGGCCTGACTTGTCACTTGTGATTCCATCGCATTGTGACCGACCAACCCATACCAGAAGCCCCGACGTGCTCTCGCCGCATCCGCCCTCATTGTTTAAACTGCCCACGTCCATTCAACCACGGCATGAGCCTAGTGGACTACATACGTACCCACGACAACAGAATTCACCGCAGTGTCAACATGCCAAGCACACCTTGCACACATTACACCTCTATCCCCAGCACTACCAACGCCCCATCAACCAGCGCAACCCCCAATAGTGGCACCACCTCCGCAACCGACTCTACACCTCCCAACCTCTCCTCGCTACTAAAAAAAATCTTACTCGCTCGAGCCCATCACGGCGCGCTAAAAGCTGTGGCTTGTAAGGCTGCCAACTGACAATTCAACTCGCACCTCGCAGTCAGCCCATTGTGCGCCAGTCGCCTGTTGCCTTTCCACTATCCGGTCTTATTGACGCTGTCACGACACTGGGCTCAGGTGGGAGAGGAGGAGAGAGCGCGGTCGATGCAGCACAGGTGTACTATCACCATAAACTAATTCACGCGCAAGTCATCATGCCTGCTTCGCCTTACTGTAAAGTACATGATGGATATCGTCGGAATCGACAGTTCGACCGTCATTGAGAATGTTCACTAGGGGATTTAAGGCGTAATGTTGCAGTTGGCCGAAGGCCCGGCCGGCTTTGGAGATAGGACTGGCAGTTTGTTTTCAATCTTGGTGTTCTTTCAAATGGTGCATCCTAGGTACTCGAATTTGTACACTGATGTGAGCGAGTTCTATTGACACTTAGTAAAGTTTCATTGTACTCATCGTTTGGCGCCGGTTAATGCCTCACCACTGTCCTATTCGGGCTACTTTTTGACCAGAACGTTGAGAGACCAGAGGCAAGAAGGCCCACGCTCCGCAACATATCGACCTCCGTGGCGGTCAGTCATCCGCAAAAGGAGGGCAAGGACATGGGAACTCGTGTGGGTGCTAATACAAGCCGGATGTTAAGTATTTTTACGTTGGGCCTGTCCAGCAATATTTTTGTTAAGCTCTTTTGCGAGGGCTTGCGTTTTGTACTTCACAATCAGTGAATTTCAATAGCAATCGTAGTGCGTTCCGTTTAATGTAATTTGTTTTGGTCCAAATCTGAACTAGTACATCACGGCATATACTGTGATTCTATGCACTGTTTTAATCCACTAAGTAATAAACGTATTTTGTTCTGACAATATTATAAGAAATTGAATAGGGTAATCATCATGTGTTTCTTTTTTCTCGACTTCGTTGTGAGTATCATAGGAATTGGAGTCAGATTTATTTTAAAAAATGCATTTCTATCGACATGATTTCACAGAAACAGTAAGTAAACTCGGCAGTCTATGTCGACCTTTCTAAATGCTCGAGCGCCGGATGTCCGCCAACGTTCTTACGGTCCAGATTAAAGAAATCCCTGGATGCCCGGTAAGGTGGCCTGAAAGCCTTAAGGAGCACCAGCACTCCTAGTTAACATTTTTGGTTTGACACGGGGATACCGGTCCCCTCTCGTAGCATAGGTGGTCTTGCCCCAAATTCTAAGTCCCGGTGGGTTAGGGTCAAGAGGGTTATGCATAAGGCTAGAAAACAGGAATAGAAGCTCCTTGTAATTTAGCGCGATGCCACCTGTAGTTGGGGAGGTCCGTATTTCCGTGTCCTACCGAATTCTCACGTAAGGATGGGTAGACAGTAACCCAAAAAGAAATACCGAGGAACCAGAACTCCCGGTAGCTTTCAAATGGACAGAGATCCAGGCGTCAGCTACTGAACTACAAGTTCGTGTTCCTTCGGGCAAAATAAAAAACGCACACTTGCAGAGCAGCGAGAACCAGTCGCGAGTAACAGCAGGTCGGAGAGTGTCCAGAGCATCACTGAGTAACAGTCAGCATAGATAATCGGGGAGGAAAAATCAATAGACAAGTGTTGCGAACTAACACCCATGGCAGTGTACATTTTACCAACTACCACGCTGGTGTTAGAACGACGTGTACCTATTCTTCACAAAGGGTACGAGAAGACAACTATTCCGGGGTGTCTGCATGGAACAGTCACTCGAGTATACGTTCGTCTGATAGGATTCTGTCGGCTTATTTGCGCGATTCTTGTGTGGAGGCAGTTCAGCTAATCAAAATCCCTGCGACCACGCGTCTAGTGAGCAAAGTAATACTGACTGGGCATCCGTGTTGAACAACCTGCGTATCACCGCCAAGGGAACGACAAGCCGACTTCAGGGTTGCTGGAACGGTGGTCACATGTTCAC